AATAAGAATAGATTCTTTCCATTCTTCAGGTAATTTCTCGTTCACCCAGATCTTTTTAACCAACCGATGTATTTTAGAAACTCCAGCTTCTCCGCATGCCTTAATTAGTTCAGTAGGAATATTATCGATTCCCGCTGCTTTATATGATTTTAATTTTCCGATAGCTACTTCAACTTCCTCTTTACTTGGTCCTTCTATTAACGGTTCAGCACTCTGGTACTCAGAAGGAGGACACAGATCATAATTTCCCGTATTTAAAATATTGTCAAAGTGGTCCTTAAACTTATTCAATATGTCAACCGGATCGGTCAGAATATTGTTATTATCATCCCTAATTCCAGACGTTACGGGCCCTACATATTTACGTGATCTGTTTATACCTTTGTACATGTCTCTTACGTTATTTTCGATTCTATTAGTTTCTATTTCAATTATTTTATTTTTAAGATACTCCCTTTTTTTATTTTTGAGCAATTTTGTCGTTTCGTTCTTTGAGATTCGGAAGTATTCCAGATTGTCTTCGCTAGGATTATTTAGAGCTTTTAATTTAGCGGCTTTTCTTTTTTCACACATGTTTAAGCAATCTTCATCAAACCACGGTTTGTTATTCTTATTTTCCTTTTTTCCTAGACACGAGTTACCGACCGCTTTAATATTATCTCTGATCTCTATCCATAACTTGTCAATATCCTCGTGGTCCTCGTCAGGAAGCTCTAAAGCTTCAAACCTATTCTTAACATCTAGCTCGAATTGGTTTCTAATTGATGGATTTTTTAATTTTTCCAAATTAAAATTCTCAAAATCGAAACGGTTTTCTTTTCTCTTTTTTATATTAAGTTTTTGTCGAAGTTTCGCGATTACTAATTAGCCGGGAGGAACTTCCAAGAAATTTCCACCGACCATCCCCACATCCGCCACCCGTGGGACGCTCCCCATACGCGGTAATGAGCCCGCGCGAGGACATGCTGAATAATAAATAATAATAATAAAAGGCTTAGCGAACCCGAAGGTTCGATGGCGACACCACCAATCGCTAATTGCACACCTCCCTCCACCGTTCGCCGTCCAAACCCAGTCCCTTCAGATCGGCTTTAATGCAATCTTCACACCTTCGCTTCGGTCTACCCCTCGGACGCTTACCATTCGGCACAGCAAATATTAATCTTTTAGGAATTCTCTCGTTACTAAGCCCAACAACTTTACAAGCCCATTTGATTCGCCGCGACGAAATTACCTCAATTATATTACCCGGATACAGTTCACGCAATTCGGCGTTGTGTAACCGTCTGAACTCTCCGGTTAACTCATCCTTCTTCGGTCCGAATATTTTACGCAATACTTTATTTTCAAAAACCTTAAGACGCTGCTCATCCCTTAATGTATGGGGCCAAGTTTCACATCCATAAAGAACTGTAGGCAAGATAATTGTTTTATAAATTCTAATTTTTAAGTTTCGGGACAAGAGGCGCGAACTGAGTAGTTTTGTCACAGAAAAATAACAAGCATTTCCCACCTTCAGTCTAACCTTAATCTCTTCTTCAATTTTGTTTTTTTTAGTTATCGTAGAACCAAGATACCTAAATTGATCTACCTGTTCAAACATATTGCCATCTATATTGATATCACCAGTAGGATCGCCATTTTTGCAGCTAACCATATATTTTGTTTTATCCACGTTTATTTTGAGTCCTAGTTTTTTACCGGCTTTCATTAACGTTGTCGTATTTAGTTTTATAGTTTCAACGTCTTCGCTTAACAGTACCAGATCATCAGCATAGCCCAGAACGGATGTTGTCCCACCCAGATCCAACCCTTTCTTGGTTCGCATTAATAATATCGGTTGCATCTGAATAATAAAAATAGACAAAATAAAAACCTATACATACCCCATTCAACTTATTTTTTTTTTTTAATTTAAGAAGGATTTTCATTCTTATGTTAATTCATTTAAATGGAAAATCTGTACCTGAGGTTAACAAAAAAAAAATTCTGTACCACTAAAATCCAGAAGAGTTTTGGGTTTAATACTGTTTCAAGGCTAACAGTTGTGCAGGGAGGTGATTGGACCAGGATTATGCACAACCGCCAGATTTTCTCCCTTAATTAATTGTTTTAGAGTACCCAATTTACAGAGACTGGGTGGGCCCCAGGAAAGTCAATCCACGGGTGATGAATAATTAATTGACATCAGCTGGACCCGAACCCGGGACCTGTAGCTTAGCAGCCCAGTGCTTAACTCACTGAACTACTCTGCTCCCAACAAGAGGTTACTAATAAAAATATATATTATAGATACGTTTATCATAAACTATACTATTTACTATATAAGTAAATATTTATCATCCACTAGCTATTTGAGGACGAAGAACCAAAGAAGCCTCAACTATAATTAAAATTATCTTATCTAATATTAATTATTCACTTGCTTTTCGAGGGTGAAGAATCAGAAAAGAATGAAGCTATTAAGGACTACTTTCGTTCAAAATATTACAACTTTTCGTTCAAAACATTACAAATTTAAATTGAATATAGAAAAAGATCATGAACATAAGTGAATCAAATATAAATAGTGATTTTACTATAGTAATAATGCTGCTTCAACATTTTAAATATTAATCTAGTTAATGTTGCTCAGAACCTAACCCCAAGGTAGATGATGGAAGTGGATGGTAGATGTTTGGTTTGTGAGGAATTAATTGAGAATTTTCACTCACTTACAGGCACTGTTAGGAGACAAGACTACCCCAAATTTGGGTGTAAAATAGACCAGAAAATTTAAAGGTGGTTGAGAAAAAGTAGAAAGCATAATTCATGATTGATGTCCAAGGAGAAGTATTGCATATGACATTTGTGCCGCTCAAGAGCTTAATGAACGTGATCATTGGTTATCTGCTAAAGAAATCTCGATAGAAGTGGGAGTCAGCTAAGGCAATCAATACATTATCACAAATTATCTTTGGCTTCAGAAGATAGATCGATTTTGAGGTAGTTGACTGAAAATAAAAACAGGTCAGGTTGGAGATCAATGAGAATTCTGATTCGAATTTTTTTTTTAGGACCACCATCGAATGCAAGATGTGGATCCCATCATTTCACTCTCAAATTGGAAAATATAGGGTAAGAAGTGGAAAAAGAATAGGAACTGAAGACAAAAAATAATTTCTTAACTAGAATAGTACTTGCAACAATCTTTTACTTTCACTTACCTATATATGAAATATATAGTAAGAAACAGTATTACGATCGTAAAAATTTTTGAATCTGAATTTTCAATGTAAATACATGTTTTGAGGTCTCCTGAGTCCAAATAACCAAGTCCCGCAAAATGGTCTGAGTGTAGGTTTGTCTGTATGTATGTGATTTATATCATCGACGAAACACATTTTAAATATTTGCTCGAAAACAGATCCAACGATTTTGATTAAATACCAGAGTAAAATTAAGTAGTTTTTAATATTATGTAGGTTTTATTCTCATTTATGTTCTCTAACAGGGTTTAAATGGCTAATTTTCAATATTAGCTTCCTCTAAAGTACTTTTAATTTTTTTTATTTGAAACAATTAACCATTTCACATTTATCTCTAATATAAAGAATAGTTAAATATAAAATATGAAAGAATTTGATAATTAACTAAAGGAAAAATAAGAGATCGTAACAGAGAATAGTTGTAATGAAGAAACCAAAGGGGTGCGAGAGCGTGCCCGAGGATTAGAACAGGCTTCCATAGTAACATGAGCTTAATATAATACAGACAGAAAATATTATGTACATATACATGTGGGATTTTCCTAAATGTTTTTGTTGGTATTATTTAATATTTAATTATATAGATTACAGCAATATAAATATTAAAATTTGTATGTATAGGGGTACTTAAACAAATAAAAATATCCACAATGAAATATATATCAATATAGCGTTTATAATTTTTCCTTTCACCTGTCTGGAAATACTTATTTCTGCTAAGAAGAGGGTGATATGTGAAAGTTATGTGATGCGCGCACTGCACCAGATTTTTTTTAACTGAAGTTAAGTTAATCAATACAGGTATAAAAAATAACTGTTTACATTTGATTCACCAAAGTAGAATGCATTAATATACTAATAAGAACAAAGAGGATAACAATATCTGTATTGCCTTTATTGTAATGATTTGAAATGAGTTATTCTAAATTATCTTATAGATACAGATTAGATTTAAGCCAGCTTTTCATAATTAAGTTTATAAAGAAAATGCGCAGCAAACAATAACAGAAAGATCAACATGAGCAGAACACAAAATTTTGATATTACAGGCTACAGAACAGATATAGACACAAGTATATTACATATTAATTTTGAAATGACCCTTGGATAAGTGGTAACTATAAAATTGATCAATGTCTACAGCAGTGTTATAGTAACAAAAAAGTTAATTATGAGGCAAAGAAGTCTGCAATATTAGATCTTTCCCTCACAATAACCTATGAGAAGTTACCATTTCAAAGGAGATCATATAGTCTGATCAGAGACAGCTGACAAAAGGAATAAACAGTGGACTGAAATCTGTAAGGCAAGATATTTGTATTAATAAACACTGACAGCAGAAGATCTGTATGATTTGTATAAAATAATATGATTATTAACTCAACACTCTATTATACTGAATAATAACAATTGTCCATTACTATCTTGAATTTTATAATCAATAAGAGATAAATTAAAAGTACTTTAATAAAAGTCTTGATACAATATTGTTCTGATAATAGAGAAATCATGATTAACAGTACCATAACTCAGGGGCTCTTGGTCCCAATAGTTCATTGGACACACTAAACAAAATTTTAAATCACATCTAGGTCTCTTAATATGAAAATATAGACATATTCACATTTTTTTACAACAGCTAACAGCACTAGGTTAGAGCCAATTCAAAACATTTACGCTACTTTTTTGGATTCAAATAGCCCTAAGTTACATTATCTTACCCACTATATTAATAAATAAATAAAAACTTACTAATTTGGAATGTACACCTGTTTGAGCTTTGACTCAGCTTCAACAGCTTTTACCCTTTTTTGTTGCACATATCTGTCAGTGGTTTTCCACATATAATAATACTCGATGATATTTTTAAGGGACTTCCATGGAAGCTGCAAACAATTAAATCAAAGCCAGTGAAAAAAAAAATTATTAATGGACAAATATAATATACTTTTAGGGGCTTCTGGGAATAAAATACTTTTATAGACATATTTCTTTGGAATCAACAATAACCAGAATATACTCAGTTTAGATAAAAATTGGAATTTTTTCAGAATTTTCAGCTAAAAAATGGATGACTTTATTATTTTTTTTATATTTTTATAGTCATTACCATTGAGTAAACAAGGTGCATAATAGGTAAGTTTTACGTATAAAGCGTTATTTGTTTTGTATATAGCATGTTTACCTCATGTTTTCTTCACTATTAGGCCAAATGTAATATTTTAATTTTTTACAATTTTTTTATTCTCAAGGGACTTAGACCCAGAATAAAGACAGAAGACTGACTTAAAATCCACATACTAGATTTGTAAGACAAAAGCTTAATCGAAAATTTAACCAATTATAAAGAAAACTAAATAGAAAATTAGATCTATCAACTGAAAACAAATAACTTAAATTTTAGGAGGCAGCTATTGAATTCTATTGAATGAAATAGTGTTTAATGATAATTATTTAATAAAAACAATTAAAATGAATATACTTACAAAGTCCTGCCTAATGTCATTGAAATCCTTTCCATATTTTTCTAAAGCTTCTTCAAATAAATTAGCCTCTGAAGCTGTCCATTCTTCCATTTCGTCTCTACAAAGTACAGGACCAGTGGAGGGAACCAAAGAACTAACAGCATCAGATAAAACATAACCATGCTTATGCAGTGTATCCATTGCATGAAACTAAAGACATAAATAAATATATACAAACACATTCCAATGAAATATTCAATATCAAACATAATATTCCATAAATTTATTAACAAATTCATAAATTAATGAAACAATTATCATACATGAGTGATTATAAAATAATCCTGAAAATTATTACACAATGGTTTGTTATTTCCTAACAGTTATATATCATATGTAATACTACTTTCCTTGTCACATATAAGAAAATAAATTAAGGTTTTCAGGTGGAATAGCAACCTTACTGCTAGGCAATAAACACTTATAGGAAGATTGTTCAATGCAGCCAAAATATCTGGCAATTGGGACACCTATAAGGAATTTCTTATTGAGTATCACAAATCTGTCAGGAGAGCAAAACGAGAGGCTTGAAGGAAGTTCTATCTGGAGGTAGATAACATTCAGGCTGCATGTTGGGTAAGTAAAATCCTGCCCAAGCAGGCTAATCAAGGAATATTGGGGAAGCTCAAAACTGATGATAACTACACCACAAGCAAAATTGAAACATTGAGTATATTAGCAAGATCGCACTTCCCTAACTGTTGCCTGATGGAAACAGAACCTTTAGATCCCATAACACAGGACCGTGGTGCTCAAACATTTGGGACAATGCTAAAAGAGTAATAACCAACAGCAGACTTGAATGGACAGTTAATCCATTTACAAATCCGAATTAATTCATGTTGATCAATAATGATAATTTCTGTTAATTCGCATACAAATCAGATAATATCTGGACACCAAATATGGTGTATTGATACTAGCAGAAATAATACACAGAAAAAAATTCATTAACTGTTATACAAATGGCTATCTCACAGCTAATGCCTCAGGAGCAGGCATCCATCAGAAAGATAAAAAGGACTGACTTTTAATTTCCCTTGGTTAATATGACTCAGTATTTCAATCTCAACTACTGGCAATTTGCAATGTGTTCTAAACCTACTGCTTGATTAGGTGACTGGTAAAAGGTTCAACAATTTATACTGATAGTCAGGCAACAATAGATGCTTTAAACAATTACTATATTTATTCACGGGTTGTTACAGACTGCAGTACAGCACTTAACAACCTTGCTGAGAACAACAAGGTGGCCATTGAGTGGGTGCCTGCACTCTGGCATCCCAGGCAACAAAGAGGCTAATAAACTAGCCAGGTTAGACTAAGATTATATTCCCATAACTTTCAAACCTATTTGTGGAATCAGTCTTAATACTGCCAAAAAAAGCATTAGGGAGATATATAGTGCTAATTTTAACCAGTATTGGTCTGATAAATGTTTGGAAAATAAGGAGGATGTCACAGGAGACCATATAAGGTGAATAAGTGCTATACGAGCAAAGACATGACAAGATGATTTTATTAAATGACAATGTTCAGCGAATTGTTGCAAAACTGGTAAAAACCTACCTCGGAACGCTTAAAGTCCTGCTCCACCTTATTTCATTTGATGGCACATGGCCTAGCTGAGCAGCATTTCTATTCTTATGAAGAAACCAAAAAATAAGTAGATTCTTGAATAGCCTTAAAAGCCAAGTTGATTTTGCGAAGTGTAAATCATTAACTGCCAAAAAGATGGGAGATAGTAGGGACTGGTGATATTGTGACATATGTTTAAAACTAACTAATATAAAGTATTCATTTTTACAAAAAAAAAAAAAAACGGGAATAACTTTTTCATTCAAGGTCCTAATACATTATAATTGATTACTTTTGATTTGATATATTTTTATTGAATGTATATTATTTGACTTTTAGGTTATAATTTAGTCAAGTTCCTCAGGGTGTCTAGATATCCTCCTCCAAAATTTTTTTTGGAGATTTCCCTTATTTTCTGAGTTTTTCTCATACATTATCACATCAAACCCTCTTCTCTGTTACAAATGAAGAAATTACAAATAAAACTAAAGAGTATAGCTGCCTATAGTGTAATGTAAATTATAATTGCAACGTATACTCATGTTACACTTTCTATTTTATGCAAAGCCAATTTGATAATATTAATATATCTCCACGAAATAAATGCGAACTGTATACAGTGCAATCTCAGAAATCCAAGATGCATCATCTACATTCAATTATCTACTTTTACTATTTAAAATGCCCCTTTGTGAATAGTCTATTATTCACAAAAATAATGGACTCTTGTACATTAACAAAGATCATTGGTGGAAGATGGGAGGGGTGCATTTTATATTTATTTTAAAACATTCAGAACAAAATTATATGAGTTCTGGGAATTTTTTATAGATATATAGGCTGAGCGGGCTAACACTTGTGCACAGCACTGTGCATTGCTCGGCAACCTGATAACAGAAGTTTGAAATAGAAAAATAATTACGAGTTCAAATCCTGGTGCTCGGTGGGACTTTTAACTCCCCATCATTCCCCGGCCCTGGGAAAAACCCTGTGTAGCCTAAAAGGCAAGGAAGGGAAGACGAAAAAAAAAAAAAAAGTTTTTTTAAGGGAGACCCTTAAGATCAAATGGGGTTTGTATTTGAGAAGTGCTTTTTGAGATAGAATGGAATGATCATATAATTGTGGCATTTTTTTTGTCTATAAAAATGTATTTGCGCCTGTCAACTTATTGCTGATAATTGTGGCATGAATCATTTTTTCTTGAAGTTCTGTGACAACAGACAATGAGAAAAATACTTATTTTCTTCAAACCAATTTGAAGAAACCTAGGATCTAATGCGAATCCTTGGGTGTTCATAGCTTACTGTTCCAATAAGACCAGGAACCTATATAGTATATTTAAGTAGTTATATAGGCAATACTATAAGTTGCAAGGAAAATAGTAATGGAACCAAAATGTTATCTATAATCAATAATTTTTTTTTCTAAAACTTAACAGGTCCACGGTCCTTCAGTTGTATATTTTTTATCATTTTTTGGATTTATAATATTCATTACTTATATTATTTTTTAAACATTATGAAATAAATAAACTAATAAATCACTAAATATATAAATAAACTAATAAATCACATTTTTCTATTAATGAGAGTGTGAATACCAAGTTTCTTGTTTTGCAGATGTAATGCATAACATAACTTCCTTATGATAGTAGTTCATTATTTTTTTAATTATTATATTTGTTGGACAATCAGGAAATGGTTTTCGGATCATCAGAAACATATTATTTATAGTTGCTGGTCTGTTTAATATATATATATATATATATATATATATATATATATATATATTAAACAGACCAGCAACTATATATATATATATATATATATATATATATATATATATATATATTCTTTTTTTTGCAGTTGTTGAACAACAGTAATAAAATGAAAGAATAGCTTCTAAATAATTACATGAAATAAGTCAATAAATTCCATATATTGATAAAAGGAGGGCCATGAAAAAAATATATTAAAAAATTTGAAAAATTCCCGTACATGAGAAATTTATGCACCAGATAAATTCTAATTGAGAAGTACTTTTACTACTAATCTTAGGAGACTGTTTTTAGAATAAATACATGTTTATTTGAGCAGCACTATGTTACACTTACTAAGGTTATATCTCTTGATGCAGCCGCTGCACTCATATGCAAACTTGGTTGCTTTATTGAACTAGAGCAATCCAGGGCTCTCGCAAATGTTCCAACAGATCTGTAAGAAAGAGTTTTAAACACATGAAAATCACAATGGAAGAATTTGATATAACATAAATAAAAAACAAACAAACATAAGTTGAAACCACAGAGTTATTCAAACCTTGGTTGAATAGACAATCTCTGAACAAATAACAATTTTTAAGCCAAGAAAGCAGGTTCACTACATAAAATTGAAGAACTTAACTTAAGGTTAACATACATTGTTCTCAGTTTAGGAAAAAAAAATTGTATAGGATGAGGAAAAAATAAACAAAAAAATTAAGTATTAACTTCATTTATTAGGCTATTTAGTTTTTTAAGGGTTTGATCATCTTAAAATACTGATTACATAAATATACCTTGAATTTAAAAATTGACTTTAGATCAAGAAAAAAAAATCAAAGTCTCCAGGTTGAACAAAAAATTTGAAAAATTATGAAATATATTTGTTTATTTGACCCATTAACCACACCCGGTCATTTTCCAAAATTGGTTTAAAACTTTTCATTTTATTATATTCAGCAATATGTCAATGGCTTAAAACAAAAACAGGCATATGATTTTTGGTAATTTAGTTTAACTTTTATATGTCTCTAGTGACTGAAAATATACAATTACTATATCATACACATATCATTGAATGTATTTTTAACAATATATAAAAAGGTTAATGATGTTTTAATAAAATAAATATTGCCTCCGAAATTACTGAATACAAATAGTTTAAAAGTATGGGAGGAGAAACAATGAAAAAAAAAAGAAAAAGAAAAGTGAGGGGATGGTGGAAATTAAAAGCTAATAGTAGAAAGCAATACCTTGAGGTTACTAAGAACTGATCAATTTGTTTATCTGTAAGATCATGGTTGGGTGTCCACACTAATGTTTCTAATTGTTCATACTTTCTTGGATCACCATCTTCTGAAAATCCAAAAATTTTAAATTAAAATTTTTTAATAAACTAATACTATTACTTAATTAATGATCAATAATAATGAAGAAATAAGTAATTAATATAAAAATGATTAGAAAGGAAATTATTAATACTAACAAGAGGAAGATAGCATGTAGGATCACAAATTCAATCACTTTGTTGGTGATACCAGGTCAAAAAATATAATTCCAATAACATTTAGGTAAAGTCTAAATAGCATTTAGATAAAGTATAAATAACATTTAGATTTTACACATTTATAATGAAAAAAGAAAAGCTCCTCAGAAGTTTATATTTTAAATTTGCAGTTCTAATTTTTTTTTTTTTTTTTTGCTGGATTTATTCCATTTTCTGTAGTTTAAAATAGTAAAATTGAAGTTATTACAATTTTAGTGATTTTAGGGAAGAAAAAAAAAGGTCCATAAAACCATGGCAAAAATTTGAAGATTTTTATTTTTTTATTGCAATCCAAATTTCTATAAGTTTTTTTTGAGGTATGTAATAGGAATATCAACTTTTTTTCTCTTTAAAAAAATATTTGACCCCACTTTACTCCATCAGTCAGTACAAATTGTTCCAATATTGTATTGATACAACAGCTATATGTCAAGCACAATTTTTTTTTTTTTTGTTGTAAGCAGGATGGGTATCTAGAGTGAGGTTAGATGAGCAAAGCCTAATAAGCTGTCATGATTTGGTCCAAAAATGAATTAAATAGCTAAATATAAAAAAAAAATTAAGAAACTTGTAAGTAGTTTAATAATGAATGAAACCCATAAAAAGAATTTATTTTTTTATTATCAACAAAAAAAAAGATACTACCTACATATAAAAAAAAATCAATTAAACAAATATTTCTCAAGTGGTATGGAGATGGTTTATTGTAGATTCTGTTTTCAGAGGAAGTTAGTTAGGGATGCGGTCAAAAAATAATATTTTATAAAATAGTATATTTATTATAATGTACAACGTTCTGACCTACGTTGTAGGTCTTCTTCAAGGCTATCTAAGATACAAACAATATAACTAAAATATACTGTTTGTATCTCATATAGCCCTGAAGAAGACCCACAACGTAGGCCGAAAATTTGGATAATGTAATAAATATACTATTATACAATATAGTATTTTTTTACCGCACCACAGACTAACTTTCTCGGAAAAAAAATATATATATATATTTCTCAGGTATTGTGTTTAAAAATAATTTCATTTTTATGTGATGACCATCTCTAACCATCCCTAAAATAAAATATCTGGTGCGGTGCGCGCATCACACAACTTTTACTTACCGCCCTCTTCTTAGCAGAAATAAGTATTTTCAGAAAAAGGAGAAGTAAAAATAAAAATTTCAGGGGGTTCAGGAGGAATAGGTCAACTATTGACCATATATTCTCTTTAAGACAAATAATGAAAAAAAAAAAAAGAATTCAACAAGATTATATGGATCCTTTTCATTCATTTTATAGCAGCTTATGATTCCATTATCAGGAAAGAGCTCTACCTGGCAATGGAAGAGATGGGAATTATATCAAAGCTAATCCAATCTGTACCGTGTACTTTGAATGAGAGCGCGAGTCGAGTGAAAATAAATGGGAAGCTGGACCAACTTTTTGCAGTGAAGTCAGGAGTTAGACAGAGTGAGCCCCTTTCACCACTTCTATTTAAAATCGCCCTCCAAGTTGTGGTGAATAGGACAGAGCTTAGTCAGTCGGGCATCATTTTAGTAAAATAACTCAAGTGCTTGGACATGCTGATGATGTGGCACTGATTGGACTGTCCCTGAAGACAATCAAGGAGGCCTGTGAAAGGTTGCAAAGAGAAGCTGGAAGAACTCCATAAATGAGGAAAAAACAAAAATTATGGTGCTCAGGAAGAAAACACCTATAAATCCACCTAAGCATTATGAAGTGGGACAGTATATGTTTCAATGTGTGTCCAGTTTTAAGTACCTCAGCTCCACCGTTAATGATCAGGTTGATCTGTTTTATAAGTTACGAACATCAGATTTTGTGAAGAAAGTCTTGTTTTCGCTGTTATTACTTCTAATGCTGAGAATAAGTATAAACTCGGAGTTTGTTTTCAATTTTCAGGTGCATTAATGGATTAATACCACCTCAGTTGTCTTCCTACTGTTAAAGAGAGAGTATATCGTTCCGGATTAATCTTTTTTTTTTTCTACATAATGCCGTGTGGAACTCAAATCATTGAGATTGAGCAGCAAAGGGTTAATGGAAATAAGAAGAGATGAGATCCCCCAGAGGTAAATTAAACCGCTCCAGGGAGTAGTCAGATATATTTTTAAATCGCGACCCAGACAATTATGGGTAAATGAAAAAAAGAGTGGAAGACCTCTGAAATTTCCTAATCATGTGAAACGGGCAGTTTTGGGATAAATCTCGAAAATAGGAGCATTCTCTCCATAGAATGTGAGACAATTCAATTTAGGATGTGATGCTAGAGCTTGGTGAGGAAGTGGATAGCTGAATCCAAGTTTTCAAAATATTGTAAGGTTATGAGAAAACTGCAGTTTGCTAAAAGATATACTAAAAAAACAAAAGAAATAGCAAAAAAAAAGTCAAGCGATATTTTCAGGTATGAAAAAAATATTGCCACAAAGGATGCACTGGGGTGGCGGAGTAATGGTAAGGGCTGCTTGTAATGAAAAAATAACGTCTTAAATTCATTTCCTGCAAAATGAACGCTGTTAGTTATCAAAATGTTTTAGAAGAGTTCCTTTTGTCGTTTATTACAATGTTGCAAGAAGAATAAATCATTTTCTTTTTCTAGTCAGATCTTTTAGGTTCGGTGCTATTTTAATTTTTTAAAGAAAAAATGTTGTCGCCAAATATAACGCGCCGTTTCACACAGCATGCTCTACAAAACAATAGTTTCAGGATCAATACTTTAGATTGGCCAACTTTTAGTCCAGATCTCAACCCGATTGAAAATTTGTGGAGAATCATTGCTAGAAAATTCTACGATCTTCAGAAGCCAGAAATACAAAATATTGATGAGCTTAAAGAAAGGATGGAAAACGTACTAGAGAACACTTTAATTAATTTCATAATAAGAGTTGCCAAAAGACTGTTGGAGGTGATCAAAAAAACACAACAGAAGTTCTCATTACTGAAATGAATTTACTCATTAAAGAGAAAGAAAATTTTTGAGTTTCTAATTTTTCACAAATTCGTTTTGTTATTTTGTCCCAATTGTAGCTAATCATAACAATATGATGAAAATGTTTCTTAAAATTGTACCTAATCATTTACGAAGATGCCTTCACTATTAAATCTAATGAAGTATATGGAGCTTGCAACTGCTTTTTGACTGACTCAATGCATCTTTTTTTGATACACTTTAGTAAATTTGTTAATCAAGAATTAAGTATTTAAAGGCATTTATAGCTTAATCCAGGAAGCACATTAGAGTAAAAGATATATTACAAATACATACTTCAGAAAAATTGAAGTAACAATAGTATTTCATCACAGGACATTCAATAAACTGATAAGTGGTATAACAAATCACTATAAACCAATGTCAATGCATATTTATAATGTTAGTTATTTATAAAATATTTTTTCGAAAATTAATTATGAAAAAATAGTTTTACTTACTATTTTATATATATTGTTTGCTAATTTGTAATGAGCCATATTTAATGTTATTAATATTAGGCTTGAACACAGTACTAGACTCAATATCTAATATTGTTTATAAGATCTTTATATTTATTTGCACAGGCATTTTCTTTGAAAAAAAAAAAATAAATAATTCAATTCAAATTCATTTAATCAACCATTCTCATTAAACCGTTATCAAGCCAGTTAATGTAAATAAAAAGAATTATTTCATAAAACTAACTAGGAAAATTGATAAATTTTTCAAGAGGATTTGATTTTGATTCACTTCAATGAGGAGTTTGTTGAATCCAAAAGGTCACACAGTAAAGAGGATTTAATAATATTCATTACACATTTATAAAATCATTAGGTAAAAGTATCAGTACTACCATATAACTATCGATTAAACATAAAATTAATAAGCATACAATAAAAATAAGTAGACAGTAAGTTGTAAAATACCTTTTCCTTTAATAAATGGAGGAGTATCAGCCTGGTATCTATTTCCCACACGGATTTCTCCTTTATCAGCTAACAGTGTTCTTTGTGAAGGATCAAAAACCAAACAATAAAAAAAGCAGTCCTAAAACAAAAGTTTAATCAGCCAATTTTTTGATGAATGAAACTTCTAATAAGTTTGAAATAATGGTGGATAAGCTACAGAACATTATTACCATTAGGCTAAAGTTTATTTCTAAAATCTCTAACTTATAATGTGTCATCTACTACAGATTTCTATTTCATATATGTTTTCCCATGAAAAATCTCCTTATCATCCTAGACTATACCCTACTACTGTATTCTGCATATTCCCCATTTACTAAGTAAGTTAAGATGGCATTTCTCAATCCTAGCACTACTTCCATAACTCCTTTAACTGTATCCTAAAAACCTCTAAATAACAAACAGATAATTAATCTTTACATCTTCCACAAACTGACCAATCACAATTTTTTGGTGTAGTTGGCAAAGAAAAATATAAGAAGATTAATACAAATTATCGTTTGTCCACCATATTCTACAACAATTTATGTTATTTACACATCCAATGCAGGATTCAATGTTCTTCAATTCTTAAAATGGAAATATTTTCACCAGGAAATATCGTTTTGGAGTTAGATATAAAAAACAAAACAATTCAAAAATTATAGTAGGCAGATGTGAATTTTTATTATGCTTTTTAATCAGAACAGTTTAAAATTATATAAGATCTATTAAGTGTAAAATGAATAATTTTTGAGAGCCTTAAACCATTTTGGGCAAAATTACATGATTTGAAAAACATCTACAACACAGACTTGGTGGCTGTCATTTAGCAGATATGCATCTTTGTTGATTATAGAGCATCAAAAGCATTATAGAGCAAATAATAGAAACACAAGCTGTTGATGGTAAAACTTTGATCTGGTGTAAAATAAGTCGGTTTTACCAATATCACTTCAGAATCAAGACAAAATTGATTTCAATATTTTTGTGTTTCAACAGTTGATTTTTTATTCAATCTTGGACATAATTTAAAATATTAGTTACTCGATTGATGCAAAATTTGAAGTTCTCTCTCCCTTCTAAAAAAAAAGTTCACAAGGAAGCACTGTTTTGGAATTTAATATTAATTAATGATCTATTATGGTAGACCAGATCTTTATCCTAAAATAGGTGCTCTAATAAGATGGGAAGTAGCAAAGGATGTACACACCTTTTTTGCTGATTTCAAAGCAGCCTGTTATTATAAAGCAGTCTATGATATCATAAACAGACACTGTCTTTGGAAGATCATTACTGAGATGAAGGTTTCCAAGAAATTAGTGATATTGATGAAGACATGTTCAAATGACCCTAAATGCTGAGTCCTGATACAAGAAGGTACTGAAGTTTGAAATGAGCTTATAAATTCAAATAGGTTTAAAGCAAGGAATCGTGTGAGGTAGACTCTTGCCATTGCTGTCCAAGATAACCCTGGAGAAGATTATTGGAACACCATGTGAAAATGAAGAGGTATATGCAGAAATAAATCATAAAATCCTAGGATATGAGAATGATAGTTGTCCTCAAAAGTAATAAAAAATACACAAAGAGATTCTCACAATAGGATCACTTTCATGAGTATGCCAGTCAAATTTCCTGTTCCTCTCCCCGAAATGAATTGAAGAAAAAAAATAAATACAGTAAAAATATTTGTCTCAATATCAAAAAATAGATTGTCACGACTGAATAATGAAAATTATTAAGTCAAACCAAAATCATGAAAGATTTCAACTATTTCTAAGATAATGGATATTTTTTCCCAATAACTGGACCATTAAAATATAAATATCTAGATATTCTTCCGTTATGATAGAATAAAATGTATATAAATTTACCTGTTTGTAGTGACTTTCAAAATAGGAATAAAATAAAACACCTTAACATTAAGCTATATAGGATAACAATAGGACAGCAGTGCGAGGTATGGTGTCTGGGTCACCACCCAGTGCACCGCTGCAGATGAGGCCTGAGTCACACAGATGAAACAGAAATAACTGTATCCTGAGTGATTAAAGTAATCATTACAGAAAATAATTTATATACATATGCAATAATTATGTTACACACATCTTTGTTGAGGTAGCTGAGGAGAGATTCAGTTTCGTTGAGCAAAGTTACAGAACATTTCCCTCTGATATGAGTTGCAGGAAGAGTTTCTACTTGTCGGGATAAAAAGAGTTCCCTATGTTTTAACTGATGTCTTTGTTTATTGTTTAAATCATCTCTATCACCATTTTCCCCCTCTGCTTCCAAAGCACCTAAAACAATCATAATATAAAAAATAAATAAAAATTAATTTTTTTATGATCCACTGTTGTATTAAGGATATAATTTTTAATTAATATAAATAAGTAATTTTAAATTTAAACATTAAGACTGAAATTTAGAAAAAAATCAAACAAAGATTATTGGTAATTTGGCAACACATTTCACAGATAAAAATTATTTCAGAAAAATAATGACATAAAATCATTACTTATTCAGTAGGTATTAAAGATCACTGGATGATTAGATTTTAAATATGTCATTTAGTATCCTATGACATATTTACTATGCCATAGTAAAATATCAGGATAATGTATGATTTGATTTTAATTTTGTAATTTAGAATATTTCTAACATTTTAACTGTATTAGCATCATAATGTAAATAACAAACGTGTAGTACCTTTTCTACAACCTCTGAATACAAATTAATAACCGTAAAATTTATTATAAAATCAATTCACAGAAATGCACAAATGGAGATGAATCAGAAGTCAATGAATTCTAAAAATGTATTTTATAAATCTTTTCCCTAACAAATTAATTTTTTGAGAGAAAGTACAAAAGTAGTTAGTACAAATTTATAGCAGCATGAGAACATAAACAATATATAAGCATCAGAGAGCTATATAAGTTCCTCCATTAAAGAGAATCTGGAAAAAGAGATAACTGAAATAGTTTGAGCTTATTGGTCATATGGTTGAAAAGTGAACCAAGGAAAATAATAGAAGCCAGCAAAGTATCTACAGATAAAATACCACAAAACCATCCAAGAATCACTTATGAATAATAAACTGCTCACAAATCGAAGTGAATTATGAAAAAAATGTAAATATTAGTTTCATAGACTCAGTCTATGAAACTTAAAAAATAATCAAATCATCTTAGATGATTTGATTATTTTTTCCAATTTAAAATTAACTATTTTTACAGCTTATCCACAATATTTAATCTTAATATAAATCTAACAATAATGATTAATGCAAAATAAAACAAACAAAATATTTTTGTTTCAGTGATGGGGATTTTAGCCTTGATTTGATCATCTAAATAAAGAAAAATTTGTTTTTCACCATCAATACTCATTTAGCCAAAACATTAGAGAGCTTTTTAAAACACCTTTACTAACATTTGGTGTTAAAATACAGGGAAGGCCTTTGGCTCTTTTAGACTCAGTGTGATGTTTGATGTACAATTGGTTACTATCGAACATTTATAGAAATAGCTAGATTAGGACACAAAGGAAGTAGAAAACCAATGTGAAAAACTACCTTTCAGAAAAGTCCATATTTGAAAATCCTGACCATTAGGCAACAAGTTGTTATTAGGGGTACACAATTAAACTGAAACAGACAAAACTGCCAGCATAAGGTCGGTTTGAGGGCAAGAAAACCAGTGAGATTGTTCTTTTAAAAAGATAACATATATCAGCTTGGTTCCTATGTTTTTGCAAGCTTATTGCAAGATTGTAGAATAGAATAGAAAATAATTTTATTCTGGAACAAAGTCCCTTTAGAATAACACAAAAGTACAAAATTAAAATATTACGTCTGGCCAAAATAAAAACAAACACAAAGAATAAAAAGAAAGAGAAATAAGTAAAGAAAACATTAGTTAAACATACTATATACAAAATCAATAACTTTTAGAAAAAATACATTAAATTCTTCTTAGAAATAAAATAAACACAAACACAAAGAATAAAAAGAAAGAGAAATAAGTAAAGAAAACATTAGTTAAACATACTATATACAAAATAAATAACTTTTAGAAAAAAATACATTAAATTCTTCTTAGAAATAAACTCTGTAGGGAAAAAACAGCCGAATCTAATAATAAAAATTGTCCGAGTATTTAAATGATGCATTATATGTAAATACATCATTATGAATAATATGTAATTTTACATAAAAGGTTAGCGGGTATCTGACTGTTTTTGGGAGAGGAATTGGAATAGGAGGGTTTTAAATGTAGATAGGGAAGGGGAATGCCAAATTTTGATAGGAAGGGAATTCCGGAAATTAATAGAGCGAGCAATAAAAGAGTTTTGGAATGAGGCAGATCTTTGAGAAGGGATGTAAAGGTCGGAAGGTCAAGATCTTGTGGAAAGGGAATGGAGTGAGGACTTGAATTGGAGAAGGTTGTAGGAGTAAGAAGGACGATGATTGTTGATGATTTGATAGAGGAACGTACCTAGGAAATATTGTCTTCGAATGGAGGGGAAGAGCCACTTTAACTCAGTGTAATGGTGAGAGATATGAGAGTTGTATAGGTGAGAACTGAGACATTTTGTAATTACTGATGAATCAAAATTTATTCTATATTATGATAGATATTTTAAGAGTGTAGACAGAGAAAAACTAACAATTTCATTCATAACCTAACCAGTACTTCTTCTTGGGAATGGTTCAATAATGACCTGGACACGGACATCTAAGAATTGAAAAACCCAGCTAACATTGTTCAGAAATAATCACATGACAGCACAAATGTACCTGGACAATGGCACATGCCGTTATTTTCTCTTTCAAAGAAATCTGTGAAAAGTGCAATCTTGTTAAAGATAATAATGATCTCATAAGTAACCACAAAAATTTTGGTTGAGCATTATTTAAAGAAACAGGATATCACAAACAAAAAAATTATAAACATTTTAATTTGTTTTTTTTTAAATTATCAATGAATAAATCCTCAACAGTAGTTCAGGTTTCTTTCTTTTTTTTTTAAACCTTATAATATAAATAAATAAGGTTTTGTTTAGTTATTAACATCAATATATATTGTTTTTAATCAATTGTATTTGATTTTTTATTAAGAGTCCACTTTAATTTAAAATCATTTCATATACGGAGGATGGCATGGGGAGGTTGCTGTTCCTTCATCCGTTTGGAATGTTCTCTTACTCAGTAGTCCAGGAGAACTGAAATTGCTCTGAGACCAGATTGACCGGTCAAGGCTTACTGGAGAAGAGAAACTTCACAGTATATTACAGCTGTAGTGAACAACAACATTACTTCAGGGTTGGACTTGTTGTCGGAATGCACTACAGAAACTTGGTGATTGGTTTCAAAACAACTAGTCCTCGAATCTGGCACTTAGAACTCAGGGTGAATTAAGAAATATTGACATATTAAGCGTTCATGCTCCTAAAGAGGGCATGAAAAAGAGAAGGATACCTTATACGAACAGTTGGAGGAAGCTTTGGAAACATATATAGGATACAATATGAAGGTCATCACAGGGGACCTCAACGTAATAATAGGAAAGGAAGAAATTGATATCCTCACAATTGGTAAATATAGTCTTCAGGACCAATGTAATGATAATGGTCAGTGCCTGATGAATTCTCAGCAGCAAAGAACCTCGCTATTGCAAGTACATGTTCTCTTACAAATAGAGAAATAAATAAAAAGACATGGACATCGCCAGATGGCAGGTTTGTTAACCAAATTCACCATATTGTGGTTAGTGGAAGGCATATCAGCTCCATTATAAATGTTCATGTCGATTCTGACCACTTTCTTAGCATAGCTAGTCATAACAAGAATAAACAATGCCCATTGTCGACAAGCACAGGCTGCGAAGTGCAATGATATGAAGAAAATGAAATATCCAGATATCCAACAGAGATATGTGTCGACACTAGACCAGAAGCTCACTGAAAACCACAAAAGGGAAGATATGAACAAGGAATGGAAGAGATGCTTCTCTACTATTACACGAACAGCTGGAGAAGTTCTGGGAGCTACTGGAAGAGAAGCCCCAGCACTGTGGTTTGATGATTAGTGTAAAGCTGCCCTAGATACAAAGAACGTGGCCAAGCGATGATCAACAGAAGGACATGGTGCACTGCAGAAGAATATAACAGAAAGAGAGGAGTGAAGAACAGACTCAATCATAAAAAGAAGAGGCAGCACAAGAACGCTGAACTATCAGAAATGGAGAAGTCTAGGATAGAAAAAGACACGAGAATCCTACCAGGTATCCAATAGAATTCGGAAACCTTCCAAGCAAATCCTCAAGTAAAAAAACAAAAAAAATTAATAGAATCCTTCTGACAGATGCTGAATCCTGCATGGCAGAATGGAAGAAGTATTTCCAAGTCCTGTTAAGTGAAGAGCGTGAAATACCTGGAGAACAAACATACCACTCAAAGAAGACCTAGAGCCTCCTGAGGATGAGAAAGTTGTCCAGGCAATTGATAGACTCAAGAACCATAAAGCCGCAGGTATTGATGGCCTACCAGCCGAATTATTTAAGCAAGGAGCGACCGAACTTGTCAGATTCCTTCACAATATCATCTTAACTGTGTGAGCTGAAGAGAGCATACCTAAGAAATGGATGAAGACCACAATATTCCCTATACACAAGAAAGGGGAAGTGATTAAGTGTGATAAATGTAGAAGAATATCCCTCCTCACATGTACGGTACATATGAGGAGGGATATTCTCCTTCATAGGTATTAGGTACATTATGTACCTAAAAAGTATTATTAATTATACTGTTCCAGGGACTCCTAACATTTGGAAATCTTACAATACCGGTGTGGATTCATGAGTGGAAAGTCAACAACAGACCATATTTTTACTCTGTGTGGAATTTTGGAAAAAAGTAGAGAATATGAATTCAAGACGCACCTCATCTGTGGGTTGATTTTAGTTTCGTGTATGGTAGTATCGATCAGGATTAACTGTAGAAGGCCCTAATAGAACTTAATATACCTCCTAAACTTGTTCAGCTGGTCAGGATGAGCAAGACGGACATTGAATATTTTATTTAAGTCGAAAGACAGTGATCGAGGATTTCTCAACAGTAAGAGGAAAGGAGATGCTTTGGCATGCCTCCTCTGTAATTTCCACTTTGAAAAAGCTGTCAGAGAATCAGGAATCCAGAAATCGTTGGCAGATCATATCAGTATGAATTGCAAGCATTTATTCTTATTTTCTATTTTTCTTATTTTTACTCCTTCATCTTCTTTTAGGCTATAGTTTTTTTTTCCCAAGCCAGGGGAGAGAGAGGGGGACTAATGTCAGAATTAAAAGCTCTCAGGCACCAGGACACTAACTTGTAATTATTTTATCAAGTGAAATTCGGTTGCTGAGCTACACATGTTTTGCACACTCGGCCACCACACCCCAATTAATAATTGCAAGCATTTCTGGCTCTCAAACCTGCAGCAAGACATCTCAGCCTGATTGTTAATCAAGGCAAGACAAGTATAGGGTATTTGACCAGCCCCTCCCCCAACAGATTGGTACCAAAGTTGCATTAGGTCCTTACATGTTTGAACAATGTTATTTGAATTTAGATAAATAGTTGCACAAGTGACATGTGACAACAGAATCTTAGCAGAGAAGAATAATCTTAGCAAATCGTGTTTATTGAGGCCTCTCCTCACACCTATCTAGCAGACTTTTCTCGCTGCATACCAAGGTCATGCTTTACAAAACCCTCATCTGCCCTGTTCTGACTTATGGTTCTGAGACCTGGATTACTGCAAAGGCAGATGAAAAAGACCTCCTTAATAAAATTTATAATATCGAGGATAACACTTTATTTTACCCTTATAGATCTATTCGATGCTTTAATTCATTTAAATTTCTTGACATTTCAAATTTTGACATTTTAAATTTTGAAGATTTAATGAAAGACCTCCTTACTTTTGAAAGGAAAATCCTTCACCGAATCCAAGGACCCACCTGTGAGAATGGGCAATGGAGAAGGCGTGCAAATAAAGAAATCTATAACCTCTATAATTAGCCTGATATAGCTCCAATTATGAAAGCGGGGAGGTTAAGATGGGCAGGACACTTTGCACAGATGCCAGATCAGTCAACCCTGAGAAAATACAAATGTAACAGATATTTGGCCACCACAGAGTTGGGAGGACTTTGTGGCAGGTGATTTAAGGTACATCACAATAAGAAATTGGATGGCAGCAGCACAGAATAGAGAAACATGGGGTAGCTGCTGGAGAGAGCCAAGACTCGCTTGCAGGTTGTCGAGCTAAACTAATAATTATATCCAGAGGAGTGAGGGGAAAAAAAAGACACAAAACCTTAGCTGAAATTAACCAGCTAAGCAGGAACAAGGAAGGCTTGGAGTTGTTGTTGAATTAACTTCCTCTATGATGACAACAGCTCAAAGAGGAAGAGAAAGAAAAATGACATAAACATGTATTAATAGCAATGTAATGAATCATTTAACTTACTTTGGTGCTTGTCCGCTAAAGTAACTAAAGTTCCAGGTAGATCCCTTCTTCTGAAAAAGCACATCACCTTGGCTTCGACGTTACCACTAGGAGTCTAAAAAGTAATAAATAAAAACTATTCAAAAAACATATTATAACATACAATGATAGTGGATATGTTAATAAAATTCAGTTGAACCTCTCTGTTATTGAACTTACAGATATATTAAGGTGACCAGATGTTCTACTTTTGACAGGACATTCCCGATGTTTGGAAAAAAATGCAGGACAAGCTAGGGAACAGCCGGAGAATGGAGAGAGAATATACGATTTTCAGCGGTCATGTAGCTATTTCGCCAGAATATGAGTTTTATGTTATTTTTGTTAATTCTATAATGTTAAACATTAATAATAACGAATAATTGTTGAGAACTGATTGCCGAGAACTGCTTATTAAAGTTAGAATTGTTGATAAGTTGTGGAATAAATATTATTATTTATTTTTCCCATTTTTTATTTGACTGATCACCCCAACCATCCTTCTCTTTAATTTAATAAGTTGTTAAAATTCGACCACCATTGTTTGGACTTAATAAAAAAAATATTTAAAAAACCTGTACCACTACAACCGATGAAGGGTCTTGGGTTCAGTAATATTTAGGGAAAGCACTGTTTCTAGATCAACGGTTGTGCAAGGATGTGGTTTGACCGAGATCGTGCAGGTTTTCCCCTTAATTAATTATTTAATTAAGGATAACCACTTTATACAGGCTGGGTGTGCCACAGGATGGTCTCCCGACCCAGGGTGGCCCCACAGCCAATGAAGCAGATAAATAAATTTTCTGCCATGAGCCGGGGTTCAAACCTGGGACCTTTAGCATTGGAAGCTCAGTGGACTTAATAAACAATCCAAAAATGGTCTTTTTAATGAGGTGGTGAGCGGAGGGAGTAAAGGGGAATTTTGGGAATGATGAAGGGCCCTTTATCTAGCCTAAATGTTCCCGGCAGGAAGTTGAAGGGTTGGACTCTGGCCACCAGCATTTTAGGGATGCTAAGTGAATAGTGGAGTATAAGAGATGAGTATGCATACCACCACTAGAGTAAATATTTTTTTTTAGGGAGAAACAAAGTTGATATTAGTTTTTCGTATATTCGTGGGCAATGCTAAGGAAAAATAAATTTTGTTTGAATTCGTATAAAATATTTATTTTCTCGGCTCCTAGGGTTCATTGGAAAGAACGTCGGGACACATGTCTAATTTTTATGTAGTATAACCAAAAAAAATTTGGTTGAAATCGGTGACCCACAGACTATATCCTCTCCTTGTAAGTCATAAAAACTGTGTTATTATTTATGTCATAAATTAGACATCAAATTATTCATTCTCAAAAATACATCATTAGAACTAAACTATCAACCTTATTTCAGTTGAATGCTATGTAACCTGAATATCTTTGCATCAGATTACCATTATGTAAAATTAATCATCGTAACAACAAATTTGGACCATTATTTGAACCAAATTTTTAATCAAGAACATTCCCCCTCCTCCATTCAATAGTGTCCAGCTTTATTAATGTTAAAATCTGATCACCTTAATATATATATTGAAAGCCTCAGTGATTTCCCTAGAATAGGACACCGTTTATAAAAAAAATTGTATTTAGTTTTAATTATTATGAATAAATATTTTTATATAGATTTTAGATCGGGGGAAAATCAAAAACAATGTATAATCATTACTAAAGATGAATCCTGCTCATCGAGGAGATCTCCGAAACATCAGTTAGAGAATGTTTTATTAATAAAAAACTAAATTATTCATTCTCAAAAATACATCATTAGAACTAAACTATCAACCTTATTTCAGTTGAATGCTATGTAACCTGAATATCTTTGCATCAGATTACCATTATGTAAAATTAATCATCGTAACAACAAATTTGGACCATTATTTGAACCAAATTTTTAATCAAGAACATTCCCCCTCCTCCATTCAATAGTGTCCAGCTTTATTAATGTTAAAATCTGATCACCTTAATATATATATTGAAAGCCTCAGTGATTTCCCTAGAATAGGACACCGTTTATAAAAAAAATTGTATTTAGTTTTAATTATTATGAATAAATATTTTTATATAGATTTTAGATCGGGGGAAAATCAAAAACAATGTATAATCATTACTAAAGATGAATCCTGCTCATCGAGGAGATCTCCGAAACATCAGTTAGAGAATGTTTTATTAATAAAAAACATTATAATGGAAGTATTTCTTTTCACTATGAAAAACCAATGGAAAAAAAATAGCACAACTGATATTTAGTTCTTTTTTCCTCTCTTGTGCAAAGGATTTAATTTTTGGTATGTGTCAAGTAAATTCTATCTATATTCCTTGAGGTACAGTTGGAAACTTGATAAGAAATAAGAAACAACTGTTTAGAAAAACAAATTTATTTACAAAAAAACATAATAAATCTAAAAAAAAATATTTCAATTAAAATGATTTTTATTTATTTATTCTGCTTTATACTTTATTTAATAACTGCAATTAAAAAGTAGCTACACTTATTATTAGAGAAACAAAAGTTATACTAAAAATGTTATTATAACCCTATAACTATTCCATTTATGAGTACTAAATGATGTGGCAGAAGACAGTAGGCGCTTACAGAAGAACCGCTTTTTCCACCAATTAAATGTATTTTCTAAGGAACTCATTCAATGACAGGAGTACTTGGAATACAAATTCCGTGTTCAGCAAGACTGAGGATAGGGCTGAGGTCCTAATCAAGGTAATCAATAACCACTTTTACAACATACGCCAGAGCGTTTTCCTGTATCAAAAAAAAAAAAAAAGAAAAGAAATCATCGGCAATTTAGAGGACAAATGGCACTATGTAATGTCCAATAATGTGAGAATTGTACCTCTGTGCTGGGAGAGTTCCTCTCAAAAACACATAGAGATTGGTCTTCCTCTCTGAAGTGATCCTACCCGAAAACTCAACTAACTCAAATCTGTCAGCAAACTTTTTGGAGATATTACTTACTCCGCGGCACAAGTTAGTGAGACCCTTGGCCTGCTTAACTAAAGTTGCCCAACCTGTTCTGTCTTTGGCAGTCTGTCCCCAATTCCTAGCACCATCGCATCTTTCCCATCTACATCCTCATAACGGCTACATGGTCTTCCTCTTCTTCTCTTGAAATGAAACTTTCAGTATCTTCCGCTATACTGTATCTTCATTCATTCATTCATAGAACGTGTACAGCCCATCTTAATTCACACACTTTTATTAAGTTCACAATATCCCCATTCTTTAAAATTTACTGTATTCCGTCGTTTGTCTTTATTTTTCAGAGTCCATAGATGAAATTTGCACAGTAAATTCTCCTTACAATTTTCCTTTCAAAAATCTTTAATTTATTAATATCTGTAGCAGAGATACTCCAAGTCTCAGTCCAATATATCTTTTAGTCTTTTATAGGTATTTTGGTCTGCCTGGACAACAGTTGTGAGCGGACCAACTTTAGATTTTCAAAATATGACTGATTTCGTAGCATAATTTTTCTTTCTATCTCTGGAGTTATTTTTTTATCTTTATTTAATGAGAAGCCAAGATATGTGAAGTTCTTGACATCTTTAAAATTAAAATCTTCATTTTCCTGAAAATGATATTGAATATGGATATTTAGTTTGAGGACTCAATCAAGGTGGAAATGAAATTCATAAAAATGTGTAAATATTACATACACGATAGGCAATTAAAAAAGTATAATAATTGATTTAAAGCATACATGTATGAAATAATCAATAGATTAACTAATTATGTAAAAGAAAATTATTCTCTTAATCATAAATGTAATTCAATAGTAATTTAATAATAATAAAATTTCCAAACTTGAAAATGGCACTAGTATTGGTCGAAACGTCAAGATAACATAAAAGAAATAAAATGTTGGTGGAATAGAATATGGTTTTAATTTATAAAAATTAACAGAATAAAATTTAAATTGTTGTAGATGTAATCACAAGCTCTTCTGCTCGGGCCCGCCTACATTCTCATATACTTGGTTTTTCCTCATTAATTACTTCATCAATCTTGCTTCCTTGCTCAAGTAAAATTTGCAGCGCCTCTTTGAAGGAAGAAGCATTTCTGGAAATAATCACCAAATCATCAGCATATGAATATATATGCCACATCTTATTAATTATAGTACCAGTTTTGAATGCCTCTTTTACAGGTTCATGAAGAGCAATATTAAACAATGTAGCAGACAGTGCTATGTCTAGTCGTACCCCGTAGTGGACACCATATTTCTTGCCTACAGTTTTTCCTACCATAACCTTTGCATATACATTATTTAAAGCCTACTGAATCACTTTTATCAGCTTACACGGCACTTTATTATATATATATATATATATATATATATATATATATATATATATATATATATATATATATATTATTTTATATTAATTAAAACTTTCTTGTTGAAGCTATCGAACACTTGTTTGTAATCGATGAAAAGAAGTTGCAATTCCATGTTTAACTCATAACATTTCTCCATAGATTGAAAAACTATAAAAATTTGATCTGTAATGCTCTTACCGTACCTGAAACCACATTGGTAATCTTGTAAAATTTCCTGAGTGAACTCTGAATCTTTTTAATATAAGGCACGATAATATCTAATAAAGGGTTTCAAGCAGGGTTATTATTCCTCAGTAGTTCCTGCTACTAAAGGCTAATAGTGTGCTATATATGCTATATATGCTATAGTGCGAGTCTCCATTTTCATTATCCCTATCATATATATTGAGTTGGCAAATAAGTCCTTTCGGTTTTTCTATTTATTTTTATGTCACTATGATACACTTCTTATCTGATGAATTAATCCCTAAGGTGGATTGTTTATCCTGTTTGTAATATTTCAACAAATGTATCTGTTAATTCTTGTTGAAACTAGCTTAGTACTGTTTTTGCAATTGCACTGTGAATATGGAAGAAAATATTATTCATTACCGGCATATTTTGTTGTATTATTTTTAAAAAGATAAGCGCGATGCAGAAGCTCATAGAAAACCATTTGCACAAGCTCGGCTATGTTTCCAGGTTTAATGTTTGGGTCCCTCACTCTCTAACCAAAGTCAACTTGGCAACATGCATTTCAGTTTGTGATTAACTGCGGAAAGGCCAACAAAACGGCCCATTTTTGAAAAGGTTGGTAACAGGAGATAAACAATGGATATTTTACGATAATGTAGTCCGTAGAAAATCTTGGGGACCTAGTAGTGAGGCTTCTAGAAGAATGTCAAAACTTGGATTGCATCCAAAGACGATGATGCTTTACATATGGTGAGATTTCAAGGGTGTTATTTATTTTCTATAAGCTATTGGCATCAGGACAAACAATTGATTCGACTCTATACTGTTCATAATTAACAAAATTGGATCAATCAATTAAAAATAAACGCCCAGAACTGGCAAATCGGAAGGGTGTTATGTTCCACCAAGACAACGCTAGGCCACACACCTCATTGGTCACTCGCAATAAATTATTGAGCTTTGGATGGGACCTTTTGCCCCACCCTCCCTATTCACCAGACCTTGCAGACTACCCTATTTACAGAGTCACTCTCGGCATTTATTACACATAGAAGCTCCATAAACTTTCAACTTTCTCTCTCCTTTTGAAGATATTATGTATTATAATTCCAAAACAAAATTTTATTATTTTTCACAAGTTTTTACTTTTTGTAAATAAAATTGTTTTTTTATACAGGTATTTCTTATTTCTTAACAAGTTTACAGCTATACCCCATAAAATATAGTCTTTACTTGGCACATACAATATCGCAACTGTTTTTTTATTTATATTTAGTTTATAAATACAATTTCAAGAAATCTTCATGTTCAATATATAGAGGTTCAATTTTTTTGTAAAAAATAAAAAATCAATCAACATTTAATATATTGTCATAATGATAATAATTTTTTAAAAGTAATTTTGTAGGAATAGAAAAAAAAATATTCACTACAGAGATCCAATTATATATGTGAGCTATATAAATATTTTACATTGAAAAGATGAAAAAATAACAATTTTAAAATATGGATATGAATAATAGATTATTGTAATAGGGCATATAAAAAAATGACCATTTTTCAACCAATTATTTGTATTATTATTTCTTTGATACAAAACACAATTAGTACTCAAAGTGTAGTCCATTGTTATCTACTGCCATTAACCATCTGCAGGAAAATTGCTCGATCCCCATTCTTTGGGATAGCTGTCCAAGAACCCTTGTACCACAATTTCGGCTTCCACAAAATTATCAAATTTTTCTCTTGAAGAACATGGGCTATGGATCTAAACAAGTAGTTATCCGATGGTGAGAAGTCTGGACTATATTATGGATGAGGGAGGAGTTTGAACCCGTTAAGTTCTTTAAAATTTTCTTTGGTTAGACAGGAAATGTGAGGGCGGGCATTATATTGTTGGAATAAAATTCCTTTTCGGTTGATCAAAGCAGGATAACGCTCTGACAACTTCGCGTGCAATTTTTCCAGTTGATCGCAGTAGAGTTCAGAATTCATAGAGCATCCATCAAGAACGAATTCGTGATGAATAACACCTTCAAAATTCCAAAAAACGCAAAGAATGGATTTTTTTTTTCCAAATTGCTCTCTTGCAGAGACCAGAAAACCAGTTTGACCGTGATATAGTCATTGCTCACGAGTATTCAGATTTCGCTAGTAAACCCACTTTTCGTCAAAGGTGACAATCTTCCGGTAAAATCTCATATCAGAAGGGTTTTTCAATAAATTTTCCAACCTCTTAGCTGATTGCTGAGGAGTAAGTTCGTGAGGGACCCATCTACTGCTCTTTTTCACCTTCCCTAGAGGGTAGATGGCGACTAAAGGCGCAATTCCACTGAGGCAACACTGAAAAACATATGTTGCTTGATACTTGTTTTCTAGTGTTGCCTATAGTAAACGTCTGACTAGGGGGCGGGGTGGCCGAATAGGCTAAAGCGTGTGTAACAGCACCGCTAGTTGCCTGGCAACCGGATAACAGAGATTTGAGATGATATGAAAAGTACGAGTTCACGGCGAGGTAGGGAAGAACAAAAAAAAAAAAAAAAAAAGTAAACGTCTGACTATGCGGCACAAAATTCAATTAATGTCGCATGCACGTTGTTGTACATGAATGCAGCATGCGTATAAAGTGATTCCATTAAGGCAATTTGAGTTTGGTACTTCATGCCATTACAAACAGTCGCGGCAGCTGCTTATTTCCTAATCAATTTGAATCGTAAAAGGACACATCGCGTCATAAGAAAAACGTCACGATATTGGAGAAGAGAGCTATAAATCAATGGTCAAGAAATTCGGTATAATTTGATATCATACCATTAAAACCGTTAGTACTCAGTGGACGCAGAATTTGATGCTCTGCAACTTTCATTATATGAGTTTTTTCTCTTAGAAAACTCATTTCCAAGTAGCAGCCCCATTTATAGTAATTTGTCGTTTTTGAAGAATTTGGTAAAAATCAGCTTTCATTGACTGTGGTTAACGAAGATTACACTTAACCAAATTATTAAGTTTAGGTACTTGTTCAATGCACAATTTAATTTTTTGAATATTTTAAAGAAAATATTTTTCACTTTGTTGCACCGTTTAGGAGCTATAGGTGAAAAAACAAAAAAATATATAAATAATCTGGCTTTTTTGGCTATAAAAAGTTTTTCCTTGGTGGCCTGCATCAGCAATTTTGTTTTTGACATGTCTTAACCAATATATACAAGTTAAATAAAAGATTTTCTCACATTTTTTACAATGAATTTCCCGTTTTGATCCTCAAGTCACTCCTAATATTCATTTAATCAGTCACCATTTTTAAAGGAAGCTAAATACAACTGGCAAAATATCATTTTACTAATAAAGATGTTATACATATTTAAAAAAAAAAAATGCTTTTAAAGTTTCCAGCAAATAATGTCAATTTTTCTCATGTGCTCTAGAACTATTTAGGTTACTAACCACTGTATTTCGTGTCATCACAATATTCATTTGGATACATCGACGTCTGAGAAAAAATTCAGTAGCTCATAAGCAAACCATTTCCCCTTTT